GAGGAGGGGGGTTATACATTGTGTGATGGTGCCTGTTCCTGTTTTGTCTTTGAATCGATCAGTGAGAACAACTTAATGTATGCATAGCAAGAGTGTTTCTGCTATTTCACCAAGCAGAAGTGTCTCTTTCTTCCAAATAAAGCTGCCCCTGTGCTGCCTGACGACAAGTCTTAGCCTTGAACATGCAGCCCTGCTTCCAATCTAACAGTTTGCCAGACAGTGGAATTATTTTGCATTATTGATAGGGAGCTGTACCTATTCTTACCACCTGTCTCGCAGGTAATGAGATCTCAGATGGTTAAAACGTCTATCGGCAACACTTTGTTGACAGAATACAGTTCTTTATCTGCTTCATATTCAAAAACATACATTCTAGGGTATTGTTTTGCTGAAGTATCAACACTTTCCAGATTTTAAAATGGGGCAAATGGTCTGGTTGTAGCCAATCAGAGGCAAGGGATGTTTCCATGGTAGGGGCCGAAAGTACCTGATACCTGGCCTGTCGGGGGGGGGTTAGGTTACACCAACAGGGTGTAACCTAACCCCCCCCGACAAGCCAGGTAGGGCTGCCGCTTAAGCAAGAGCCATCTGTCCAGTCAGCAGCCAGGCATCCAGGCAGCCGTGGGGTGTTTATGTGGCGATTGTAGAGCTACGCCTGTGTGCCAGTGTCAGGGGGACTTGCAAAGGGAGGGGGGAGCACCACGAGTACCTCTAAAACGGCCTCCCATGGCAGGACCCACCATCGAGTGGCTGGAGCCCAAGCTGCCCGACATCCTGAAGAACGGCAGCTCTCTGGACAGCTTCACCGAGGGGGAGGGCCAGCTGGAGGGGGGCGGCCTGGAGCTCAGCAGCCCAGACTCCTGCAGCTTCTCTGGGGTAAGGACATGACACCCTCTCCCCTAAGAAGTTGATCTGACTTCAGTTATTTCCCCTTTAGGCTTTCTGAGTTTTCTTAAAGGTGTCCTATCATGTCTTTTATACATAAATGTGTCCCCGGTGTGTCAGGGAACTCACAAAGTGTCAGAAAATAAAACCCTCTCTCTTTTCCTTCGTACCCAAATCTCTAAAAACGGGGGTACAACGGAGCTGATCCAGATTTGCTGCCGATATGATGTAATATCTGAAATGTGGGCTGGCTTTACGCCCACGGCCCTATCAGAAACGTTGCTATCAGAAACAATGCCCGACGTGTTTTGGACCTAATATTGTCTTTGTTTACATTAGCAAGCATCGCTAACACTCAGAGCTAACCTGTACTGGAGAGAGCATGTGTCAAAAAGCAGGGGGAAAAAAGAAGAAAGGAACTCACCTTCTGGTAAACCCGCAAGATAAAAAGCATTTGAGCTCCATACTGTTTCAGAGATAATCCTTGATGTGTATTTTGAGCAAAACACATCATAGACATGTTTTTCATATTTGTATATATCTGAGACCCATAATATATGCCTACAAATAGAATGATAGGAGATCTTTAAGTGACGTCTCCCATGTCATAAACACACTAACTTATTATCAACCTCTGCTGAGACATTCCTGTAGGTTGTTGCTTCAATCAAACCCCCCCCCCTTCTGTGTCTCAGGAACAGGAGGACATTGACGCAGAGGATGAGGCGGAGGACTCTTTCACGGATAAGGAGGAGGACCTGGGTGCTGTGGAGGAGGAGCGCAGCGTCATCCTACACCTGCTGTCCCAGCTGAAGCTCGGCATGGACCTCACAAGGGTAGGTCCAGTTCCATGGAGCTCCGAGAGGCTAAACAACCCCCCTTCCAACACATCTTGACAAAACAAGACTAATGGGATATGTTATCATGTTTTATATGGTATAACAGATAGTAAGTGACATTTCTATAGACTAGTCCAGAAAAATAATGTTGGTTACGCCCTACTATTTAGCTGAAGTCAGTTAAAATGTAAAGCTTCAAAAAGCATTTAGTTTATCTGAATTGAAAAGGTTCGTAGTGGCCCAAAATAAACACATTCAAGTCATGTTTGTGTTTCAATATTCTGATACTTTGATTTGTAATGACCTGTCAGGCTGAAGTAAGCACTTCCTGCTTTGTAATTACTGCTCCTGGACACTCTGACACTCTATCTTCCAGGGTCGGTTTGTTCTAGTATTTAGATAGCCTCCTCTTGGGTTTCTGATTTATCGCAGTTATCTGGTGAAATCATGGCTCAGGTGGACATCTAGTAGACGCTGTGACCTCAGGGTCATGTCGAGTGTACGTCAGCCGCTCAATTTACCCATGGTGAATGATCTGATAACGCACCAAATGGAAAAGAAAATAGCATCCAAGCACTACCTAAGATTTACGAAGACAACCAGGGGGAAATAGCGTTGGCAAGGAATCCTGTTAACAGACAGAGATGCAAGCATGTTGACATTAAGTATCATTTTCTGAGGTCAAGTGTGGAAGAGGGAGAAACAAGTTTGGTTTATTGTCCAACTGACCAGATGGTGGCAGATGTGATGACAAAACCAGCACCAAAGTTTATGTTTGGAGAGTAATCATTTCTGTAAGGTAGAGAACCTTATCATATTTTTTTGTTTAAAGACACCAAATGTGATATCAAGTGCGGGTGTTAACATTCATGTAAATGTGGTATCAATTTGCGTTGTAGTTTTGTTGTGCATGGCTGACTGCCAATAACATGTAAGGTTAAAGTGCACGTATGAATAAAGCCACGCCTCCAATGTGAGGGTCCGTTGAACGAAGTACTGCTGTCTCAGACGCAATATTTTCCTCTGCTACACTTGATTGTTTTATCGGGTGCTAACAAATACATTTCTCTCCTCCCAGGTGGTCCTCCCCACCTTCATCCTGGAGAAGCGCTCTCTCCTGGAGATGTACGCTGACTTCATGTCCCACCCGGACCTGTTTGTGACCATCACCGACGGCAACAGCCCGGAGGACCGCATGGTGCGCTTCGTAGAGTATTACCTCACCTCCTTCCACGAGGGCCGCAAGGGGGCCATCGCCAAGAAGCCCTACAACCCCATCATCGGGGAGAGCTTCCACTGTTCCTGGAGGGTCCCCAGGGAGCCCTCGCAGGGGGGGGCCGACCCTGCCACCCCTCAGGAACCCTACCAAGTGCGCTTTGTGGCTGAGCAGGTGTCTCACCACCCCCCTGTGTCTGGCTTCTACGCTGAGTGCCAGGAGAGGCGGATGTGTGTGAACACGCACGTGTGGACAAAGAGCAAGTTCATGGGGATGTCCATCGGGGTGTCCATGATAGGGGAAGGTAAGCCAGCACTATCTCATGAGATCACCCAGAAATAAAGAGCCTGGCTCACATTCTATGGATGTGCTCGACTAGTCAAATAAAGTTTGTACCCTCGCCAGAAGTCAAATAAATACTAGTCTTTAAACTCTTATTAAAAACAGCTATTAAATAACTTGATACACTGAAATGCCTTCCTTGTCAAAGAATCTGTCGACTACAATTGTTAATGCTAATTTCAAATGGTGGTTATAATATATTAGGCCTTTCTCCAACTCATATAATTTTGTCAAATAACTGATTTGTTGATTTTAGTTTTTGCACAAAGAATATTTGCAAAAGCACCACTTACTTTCTTGTATTCAACTGAGGTTACTTGGAAATAAGTCAGACATGCAAAAAAAAACTATTTGACTAAAGAAATAATAGAATTATAAATTAATCTTAAATCTATTCTTCGCTAAGTAATATATGAACCTCAAGAATAAAGTATCCTAACAGATAGGACTCTGGTAGAGATGAATTATGGCCAACAGAATGGATGGGAATGAACAAATTAGTTAAGGAATGAGTTGTTTCTTGATTTAGTTTGT